AAACTAAACTAAACTAAACTAATATCCAACAAATTAAGCTTTTATAGAAATGGAAATATAAAAATGAATTTACCAGGAAAATGGTTAATGTATAAATTAAGAAAAAGAAATAAACCAGGAAAATGGTTAATGTATAAATTAAGAAAAAGAAAAGAAAATGATACTGAAACTTCAAGAGGAAGATTTTGTATTAATAGATAATATGACTATGCAAAAAGTATTTCATCAGTATTATTCTAATTTATATAAAGGACATTATATTCCTTTGGACAAAATATAAACCAAAATCTATCAAGGATTTTGGAGAAACAAAGACAAATTATGAACAGACCTATAACAATAAGAGAAGTTTCTGAAGCAGTGAAAAAGGATAAACTAGGAAAAGTACCTGGACCAAATGGATTATCAGATTTTCATTTTAAATGTTTTGAGGATGAACTTTTACGATCTCTACAAACTACGATGAACAATATTTTACAGGAGGAAAGATGCAAGAGATTTGGAAAGAGGCTAATGTAGCAGTAATATTTAGAGGGACAAAATTTGACTTTTAACAAGTAATTACAGACCAATATCATTATTGAAAATGATTATAAGTTGTTCACAATGATTCTGGATAATAGATTGAAAATAATTCTGGAAGAATTTATTCATGAAGATCAATGTTCGTATTTACCCAAAAGCCAGTTAAAGGACTATGTTAGAGCTATGATGAATATTTGCAACAACATAATGGAAACAAGCTGCATTAATTATTTTAGATGCACAGACGTTTTTGTCAACTTCAGTTGGACTTTCCTGTTTAAAGTTTTGGAAAATACGTACTTTGAAGAGAATTTTATAAAATGGGTGAAGTCAATTTCAGAAAGTACAAGTTATTGTTAATGGAGATCTAACAAAATCATGTAAGATTAAAAAAAGAATAAGACAAGTTTTCCCACTGTCTTTCTCCTTTGTATTTAAGTTCTTGAAATTCTGAATAGAGACATAAAACAAGGTTAGAGGTTGTGGGAATAAAAGTTTAAAAAGAGATACACAATTTAAGAGCTTTTTGTAGAATTTGGTACTGGTTTTTGAGAATACGGAATAGATACAAATTCAGGTTATGCCCAAAAATAACTTTGCATTTTATAGATAAGAAATAATAGGCATCTACAAATGGCTAACTTATCATGAGACACTATACTAGAATTATACTAGAATTTTCTCAAGGAGAATGTAAAATAAAATCAAGAGAAATTCTGGTGGCAAAAGGATTGGTTCCCTTATTTACAGTTATTAGAA